AATTTGCGATGGCGGTTGTATTGTTATTTGAATTGGTGTTGTTGTTGGGAACTATATCAGTTCTGTTATTAGGAGTTGTGAGACTATTGCTTGGATTATTAGAGTTTGGTAAAATACTGGGAGGAGGGCTGAACAAGATCTTGTTAATCAAACAGTTCGGATAACCACTGTTAATGAACAGTTTTGAAAGCTTCCGCATGTTTGAAGTATGGAAGGTATTATCTGAGATGCTGATTACCCTTGTTTTCATCTGTTTCACCAAGTTGATTGTAATCCTTAGTTTATGGTATAACCTAAAATTGAGGAACCGGCCTGAGGCCATGGGTTTCTGGTACCAGTCTACCAATAAACTATTGTTGTTGGTGCGGATGAGTCTTGTGTCAAGAAAGGGGACAGACAAGTTCTCATCTTCTGTTTCAATGGTAAATTGGATGTAGGGGTCATAGCTATTGAATTCACCGACAATACTATCCAGACCTCTGGAGGGAAAGCATAAAATAATGTCATCTACGTATTTTTTTAACACGTTCACGATGACAATGCATGGAGTAAAACACGACTGTAGCCGATAATTATTTTTTTCGTTTTTTTAGTGCAAATATACATTTTCTGTAATATAATTTCTAGAAAATGTGAGCTGGGCTGAATTCGTATCCATGACAGAACGACTGTGCTATCAGTCCAAAAGTAAGACGCATCGATGTGTTCGTGTAAAGCTTTTACCCTTTCATGTAACCGAGTTGCTAAAACGGCGCCACACAATTCGAGTCTAGGAACGGTTATTGTCTTGAGCGGTGCAACTCGAGCCTTCGAACGTATTAGACGAACTTCAACTTCTTCATTTGAATTCATTGATCTCGCGTATATGCATCCTCCATATCCTGACTGTGACGCATCTGAAAAATAATGCAGCTCGATATACCGTGGTTTTGTTATGATCACGTGACGTTTGACCTTTAAGGTATTTAATGTTGGCAGATCGGCGCTGATCTGTTTCCACTCGTTCACTTTTGCGCTGGGGAGCTGATCATCCCAGGAAAGTTTTAATTCCCATAACTGTGGTAGGAGAATTTTAAATCTTAAAATGACTGGCGATATGAGGCCCAATGGGTCGAAAATACGAGATATGGCCGATAATAAGCCTCGTTTCGTTGTTTTGGTGACAGTTATGTCGCGTTCATCAACTAAGTAAGTTAGCACGTCGCTATGAGCTCGCCAGATTAGACCTAAAGTCCGTTTAACTTCGTCTTCATATAGATAATGATCAGCATTTTCAATGCTGTCATTAAAAACCTTTGGGTCGTTGGATCCCCATTTTCGAAGATTAAATCCGTATAGACTTAAGCATTTGGTTATCTCTGCCCTCAAGTTACGTGCGCGTTCAACGGTTTCCGCTCCAGTGATGAGATCGTCCACGTAGAAGTCTCGCATGATGACCTCGGATGCGATAGGGTACAACTCTCTTTGTTCAATTGCCCGCGTGGGAAAGAGGCAAGAGCAATACCGTACGTTATCGTGTTTAAACGATAATGTGATATTTCATGAGTGGGGATCGCTTCTCCACACGATTCTTTGGAGATCACGGTGCCTTTCCGAAACACCTACCATCCGGTACATCTTTTCTATATCAGCTGTTAGCACAATTTCGTATTGTCGAAAGCGCGTCAAAACAGCAAATATATCTTGCTGTATGATAGGACCCACCATGAGAGTATCGTTTAATGATAAACCGCTATCGGACTTGCAGGAACCATCAAATACAAGCCGCAACTTCGTTGTTGTGCTCGTCTCATTTTGAACCCCGTGATGCGGTAAGTAGTATACTAAATCGTTATCCGCGTTTTTAGGGCCTTCATCGATTTTGGACATGTGTCCCAACTGTTCATATTCAGTCATGAACTTGACGTAACTTTCGCGAAATTTTGGATTTTTTGTAAACTTGCGCTCTACTGAATACAATCGATGTACCGCTTTGTTTATAGTACTGCCGAGTTCATTGATATTTGGACGTACAGGCAAATCTACGATAAAATGTCCCGTGTCGTCTCGATTTAATGATTCTATGAAGCTTTTTTCACATTTATTTTCCTCGGGCGATTTACTTGGGATGCTTGATCATCCTCAAGAACCCAAAATTTTTCCATCTGCTGATTAAGATCTAGGTAAGTAGTCGTAGATAAATGACATGAAGCCTTCGTTTCACTACTAACTGACTTTTTACATGACATAACCCCAGATGCCACCCAGCTGAAGACTGACCCAAACTTCTCCGGCCGTAACACAGCGTGTTATAGAATAAGCGAGCACCTATAAGCATGTCGATTGAAGATGACTTGTTAAAGTCTTCATCAGCTAACGTTATGTCATTTGGTGAGTAAGAGTTTTACTGAATGGTTCGCTAGGTAAGTATTCCGTTATTTTGTCTATAACCAAGCATTATAACTCTGTCTTGAATTTACCATTCATTGATTTTATTTCAATAGAAGCACGTGAGGATATTTTCATTTCTGCTGCGCCTAGACCCACAACTGGTATGTTCACAGGTTAGAAGTCAAAAAATTTGATTGCGATCCGTTATCTAACAATGCACGACAACGATGCCATTTTCCATTTCTATCGCGTACTTCAACTACGACAGTTGATAATAATACTTGATTAGCCCGATTTGTGCAATGATTGATAGGTAGGCTTGATGCTATTGGTGATTGAGCATTACCTCCGCTACTGGTTTCATGTGATGACTCGTTATTTTCGAACTTGTCCGAACTATCATTTTTATCTATATGGATTAACGTGTTATGGCGCTTTGAAAACACCTCACATCCTTGTGCGAGGCACCTCTCAATAGAGTGACTGGTCCGCAAGCAATTCGTGCAAACCTTCAACCGTTTAACTTCCCGCTTTCGATCCTTTACTGACAGTTCGATAAATTTTTTACACTGATACAGCTGATGTGACTCCTTGCGGAAGACACACTGGATATCTGCAGCTCTGTTTGATTGTTTTGTCACCACGAACGACTGAGCATTCTTACCGAACTTTGAATATTTATTCGCTATGCCACTGGATTTTGGGTATGAACTAATTGCCGGTGGTTTTTCATCGTTTCGCTTACTATGTTTAGTGATTTCAGCAAGAACACATCGATCTGTGATGAAATCCATCAACTGACTCAATTTTGGACGCTCTATTTTTCTATGAATGATTAATTCTTCCCATGAAGTGGAAGTTCTGAAATCTAGTTTCGTGGTTAACAAATGAATGAGCAACGTATCCCAGTACTCTACGCTTTCACCCAACAACTTCAAAGATCGATATCTTTTTTGAAAATCATCGAGTAAATTCCTGAGCGTATACTTGTCTTGATTTACAGTGGGAAGATCGAACAACGCACTGACATGATTTTTGATCGTGAGGGCCTTTGCCTCTAGAACTCTTGCCGCTTCCCCCGTAACGGAGCTGACAAGATAATGAAATTTCCTTACGTTATCAAGGGTACAATCATAATGGACCAGACTTACGAAAAGTGCTTTGAATTGTGGTCATTTTTCATGTTCACCATTAAATTTCACTAATTCAATAGTAGCAAAACTGTTTATACCAGTGATGACCTTTTGTTCGTTATTATTATTTGTAATCGAGCCTTCGTTCGCGCCTGCCCCACTCCGATTGGCATAACCGTTTATCTTCTGATAATAAGCATCAATGTTTTGCCTAGCCTGAAAAATGGCAAGATAATACCTATCTTCAAAGATGTCTCTCCCATCTGATTCCATTTCGTCAATGTCGATTTGTTCAATAGCTGATTGAACATTGTTAAACTCCGTTAAAAATGAGGTTATGTTTTCTAAGCGATGTTCTAAATTGCTGATATTTTTCCTCGGTGTACCTGTCCAAAAATGAAATGAATCGCGTTAGAGCACCTTTGATTTGGCCTCTTTCGATAACTAATTTACGATATTCTGGTGATTCACTCATATTGGAAATTTGCGCAAGAAACGATAACTCTGCTACAAATGAGCTGTTAAATTGCTTACTTCTACTCAAGCTGAGACTGAAGCTATAAAAAACGATTGGATTACCTTGAGGTCCAAGGGATTTCTGTTTCGATGTCCTGCTGATGATGATCGTTGTCGATTGATCGATGACTGCTAGCTGCTGTTGTGGCCTATGTTTCCCTAACATGCGGCTCGTAGGACCATGTAGTATATTGCTTTATTTCCGTAAAGTTACAATATAAGTATTTCGATATATTCGATGACGCTGGAGCCCTGTCTTCCACGCGCCCTTGTGTTGCTTCGATTGCTGAATGCTGAATGCCGAATGCTAATCCTTTCTTGTTTTTATACGTTCTTGCGGGCTGCTCCTCTGCTTAGCGTTGGGCCGGCTGGCGGCGGCGTCGGCGTTTTGCCTTCCATAATAGCTGTGCGTAGGTGTCGATTCGCTGCCAGAGGCGGCGACCATTATGTTTTGCGGAAAGATACACCACAATACATATAATTATTTTTTAATGAGCATACATTGGTGCGCTGCGAAGGAAAGCAAACATGAACTTTTTCAGTTTTCTTACAGTGTATGTGAGTCCAAGCTTCTTTTACATCATTACTTAAATAAAATATAGTAGGTGGGTCTAATACAATATTTTCGTTATTTGGCAATTTATGTAAATAATACAGATGGAATGGGAGTTTACGAAGTATTAGAATTTTCAAGATACAAAAGATGTCATCATTGATGTACACAATGCTTAGCTTACTCAGTTATAATATTTGAAATGGCCGGTTATCTCCAACATTTATCAAAACCTTTGGAGTATATATTTTTGAAAGATGATTTTGTATCAGTACTGTGGCCTGGGCCATTTCGTGTCCAGAATAGAATGTCTTATGGGCAAATCGATATCAGAATCAGAATCTGAGTGGTAACCTGTTCCGGTTGTACCACTCAACATTAAAGTTTAAACGTAGAAATTATATATACATATATACATACGTCAATAACAGCAATAGTACTAATATATCAGTCAAAATCTATAAATCAATAACGAATATAATATTAAATTGAATTGTGCACACCAACAGAAAGAATGAACAAAGATAGGAGCTTACAGAGTAAAAATAAGGATAATCTTCATTCTTGGTCCGTCCTGAACTTCTAACATTCAGCTGTGAGGTGGCGTCCTCGATGGGTTGGCTTTCCCAAGCCTGATGTTGACCTTGGACATTTCAATAGTGGAAAGCTCCCAAACTATCGGCCTTCTCCTGGTTCATCTGGTTCTGCTATTGGCTTCTGGCCCAAGCGGCGTTATTTCTTCTGACCAGGCGGGTGCCAGTGGACTTCTTCGATGGTCTCCTCTTCTCGTTCGTGGATGTTGGATTATCTCCCCTTGGCTGGCAGAAGTGGCGGATCCCTCACAAACAGTTGATAGCGACCGGTGCGGTGGTGATGCTCGACTCCATACACTTCTAATAGCTTTGGAGTAAGTACAATTTCGAAACTTTAGAGCCACCTGTTGAGAGGTTAGGTCGCCGCCTTGTGGTGTGAAATAATGCACAGACTTTGTTGCTTGCTGCGTTGAATTATTGGAGTTTTATTGTTGTACACAATTGCAGTATGTATTAGACGTGTTACAATAACACCCTTTTTACGTTAATATTCAAATTTTACAATTATCTAGACAGTTTTTGTCGTGCTGAGAAGAAGAACCGTGGACTGTAACTTGTTCTCTCAATTCTCTCTCCTACGTTTGCCGATTGTTTGGGATTCGCGGAAACACCACCGAATTACTCTTTCTAACACACGCCCGTACGAGGGATCCCGGTTGAGCTCTCAATTATGTTTGCCATAATTTATATATAAATAACTTTTATTTCCCGCTGATGAATCTAACTACCACTACAATAGTTGATATCTATCTTATTGCTAAACAAAAGGTACAACGATCATTATAAAGTCGTATAATAGGAATACACACAAGCTAATTCTTAAGAAGCATGGAGGACGTATCAGGTTGCATGTATGAGATAATTCCAAGTTTTCTAACAACGGTATTAGAAAGATACAAGATAACGCCAAGATGATGCAATATATTAATTATGTATATAGTGAGCCAAAGTACATAACTTGCACGAACCACATTTCGCAGACGCTGACGAAATGTATCCTAATCCGCCCAATATCGTTATTCTCTGAATGAGTCAATCTTCTTGATGTCATTTTATTATCGACGATGAGGTGTTTCACTCTTCTGCATGGACGCCAGATGCTGACGAAATATATCCCAATCCTTAATTAATTTATTCCTTGACCGTATCAACCTACTAGTTTTTAGTAACTTGAAAATGTTCGATTATTTTTAATTTGTTCCGGTGTATTAATATACAGGGTGACTTTGAAGTTGAGTCATTAATTTTCAGATAATGATTGTAGAAGGAATATAAACCAAAATATGTGTGTAAAAATAAAAAAAAATTAAAAAAAATTTTTACCTTGTTTTATAAAGTATCCTCCCGACAAGTATTTCAGTGCGGACCTGTATTTGATCGTGAGGTCCCCTGTGAGATCTTAAGTCACCTGATTCACGAGCCCGTTGTACTACATTAACAAAGGCACGAGGGGTTGGTTGCACTCGATTGGGAAACCGATCCGCATAAACATGTGCCATTTTTTATTTCGTTTGAGCCACGCAACAGATACAACTATTCACTGACACTTACTGTATACAAATGAATGAAATAATTCGTTCCAAATTCTTTCGCTTTTTTGTTTCCGATGCGATGAACCGATACGACGGATTATATCCGTTGTCGCCAAACACGAGCACATTGAGACAGGGCGGTACTCAAACTTCCAAAGGGCTATAACTTTGTTACTTTAATTTTACCAGAAAAATGGTAAAGGAAAAAAACATTTCTTTTGATCAGATCTACTCACTGTTAAAATAAATGGTAAATAGTGGTAACACATAGCTCTGATTTCCGTCGTTACCAACAAACCCAATGTGTCCGTCCTTTTGGTTTTACATTTTGCAACAAGTGCTCTCATCCACGCTTTCGTTTTAAAACACCATTTGGCTGCAACCTCACCGACGAGTAAGTTGTCTGAAAATTTAAATCCTTTCTGAATTGGGTGCTAGCTTCATATTTATGTTGCAGCTCCTGCTGATGGCACCATAGCGTGTCAAAAGCTCGAGATTACCGTCAAAAGAATTTACTACGCGTAAAGTTTGCCAATTTTCCAATTAATGATCAATTGTATTTTTTGTCCAATTGGTCGTTGACAATGGCAATGACTACTGCTCGCATATATACTCGTATATATATATATATATAGTTAACTGCCTTAACTGTTAGGAGAAAGTATCCTTGAATCTCTTTGGATAGAAGGCAAAGTTTCGCATAAGTACATTCTTACAACTTGAACTCGAGCTTTCGATGGTCTAAGCCAGCATCGTCTGGAGCTAAAAAACTATTGAAAGTACGTTCGATAGCGGTTCAATAACTTCAATGTCACACTTCATATGCCACTGTAGGGTGTCAGTCGGCCGGCACGTGTTAGATAAAGTGGAGGTTATTAGAAAACATGAGATCTCGAAGGATATTTCAATAGCTGTTAGATTGAAGTTCTTTCAAATCAATCAGTAAACAAAAAAACATAGCTATGGTGTTGCCTTTTATTAATAAGATTTAATAATACTGTCCTAATCGAACCTCATCGGTCCAGTTTTTTGTTCGTTGACTATGTGTTCCATTTCACTGTCGTTTAAGAACAATTTCAGCAAACAATCTCGCCGACTTAGTAAGTAATTATTTTTCATCCTAATTGCTTACCGTTGCTATTTTTCAAAAATTGTTTATTTAGTTCCAGACGATGATGGCATAGACCATCGAAAGCTCGAGTTTAAGTTGTAAGAGTGTACTTTTGCGACACATTAAGCAGAAATAGCAACTATTGTGCAAAATGATTTTAAATTACTTACAACGGTATGTGAGATTGTAGCTAAATGTTATTAATGGTTATGTTTAGGGAAACATTTAGAAACCTGGTGAAGTCTGGATCCATGGTACATTCGTTAAAAATGATAAAAAACGCACATGGCTGTATGTCAGGAACACATCACAACGGATTAAATATATTTCGAATAAAAGTTAAAATTGTTAACATATTAGATGTTACATCGTGATACGACCACTTGATGCTGCACAAGATGGTGTAGGACAGAATCATATGTAGCATGAAACAATTGACAGAAGGCTGGTTGTGTCAGTGTCGATGGATGGAACGAAAGATGGTGCTATGGGTAAGTGCGCCAACTCATCACAGTTTAGCAAATATGGGTAAATGACGCTCAGTTGCTTCACGTCTGCCTTTTTATTCATACAGTTGTTATTTATGACAATGTGGGTCATTTCCAGGAATGAACGTTTGGATAGGTGTTTTTCTCTATCAAGAACTTTGATACTTGTGTAGTTCATCGAGTGTCCTGTTGTATTGATGTGTGATGCCAGAGCACATCTCTCAGGATGAAGTCTAGAATCACTTTTGTGTGATGTAATCCTTCCTTTTAGGGATCTGGAAGTCTGACCCATGTATATTTGATTGCAATTATTACAATTGATGGAGTACACTGTGTTGGCTAAGCCAAGCAACGGGACTCTGTCTTTTATCTTTGAAAACATACAGTTTATACTGAGGATGGATTTACAAGCAATTCTACAGTTCAATAAGCTACATAGTCTGATTAGTTTAGGGGTCAGTTCTTTGATGTAGGGTAGAACAGTAAAACCAGATCTGAAATTTGGGATGGTGGTTATATTATTATTATTAGAATAAGAGCGTTGGGGATTATATCAGTTCAATTATTAGGTGTTGTGAGAACATTATTTAGATTATTAGTATTTGGCAAAATACTAGCAGAGCTGAACAGGTTCTTGTTAATGAAATGCTTCGGATAACCGTTATTGATGAACAGTTTTGATAGCTTCCGTAAGTTCGAAGTATGAAAAGTATTGTCAGAGATGCTGATTACCCTTGTTTTCATCTGCTTTACCAAGTTGATCTTAATTCTTAGTTCATGGTATGACCTGAAATTGAGGAAACGGCCTGAAGACATGGGGTTCTGGTGCAAGTCTACCAATAAGCTATTATTGTTGGTGCGGATGAGTCTTGTGTCTTTTTCAATGGTAATTTGGATGTAAGGGTCATAGCTATTGAAACCTTCGACAATACTAAATACACCTCTGGAGGGAAGGCACACAATGATATCATCTACGTATTTTTTATGAAGAAGAGGTTATAGAATAGTGTCTGAATAACAATATCAAGCAGATCATCCATAACATATTCTGCCAAAATTGGTGATGCACAGATCCCATAGGGCAACCATGTGTCTGAGAATATATTTTGTTGTTGAAGAAGAAGTAGTTGTTATGAAAGATAAATGTTATAATGTTGGTGAAAGATTCGAGTGTTATGTTGCAGTGTTGACTTATCTCATCTCAATATCTATTTATAGTTCTAGTATATGCATCCAGAAGACTGGCGATAATGTGATCAGGTGGTAATAGTAACTTGTTGAACTGGCGAGAGGCATCAAAGGAGTGTTTGATGTAGTAATCATGATCACTTTGTGCCGATTTTAATATTTCCGATATTAATGAGGACAAAGCCTGGGTGGCTGTATCAATTGATGCTACTATAAGTCTTACTGAGAGTACAGGTTTATGTATTTTTGGAAGTGCATCGAATTTAGGCGGGACTGAGTTATAAGTAGTCAAAGTTGTTCTCTGTTCTTGGGTTATTTGTCCAGTGCTGAGGAGTTCCTTAACAATGTCATTACTTTTATTTTCAACCTTTGATCATCATTGATAAGATTGTTGCAAAGATCCAAATAGTGTTGTCTTAACGTTGTCACTGTAACGTTACCTTTGTCAGATCTTGTGACAATAAGTTCAGGACGTTGTTTTATAAATTTCATAGTTTTGTCTAAAAGGTTGTGACAGCAGGAATGTTTTTTATCAAGCTTGCTTCTGTGGTAGTAGTTAGTGATGAAATTTGTGGAACGAGTTGTGAAAATGTTTCTTTCAGTGTCATCACTTATGTAGGAAGCTATTAGGTCTACATCAGGTCCACACTTTTTGGATCTTTGCAACAATCTTATCAATGATGATCCATCATATCATCAAATTAACAGAGATCCTAAATCAAAGGTTGAAAAAAAAAGTAATAACATTCTCAAAGAACTCCTCAGCACTGGACAAATAAACCCAAAAACAAAAAAAAATTGACAACTTATAACTCAGTCCCTCCTAAATTCCGTGCACTTCCAAAAATACTTAAGCATGTACTCTCAGTAAGACCTATAGTAGTATCAATTGATTCAGCCACCCAGGCTTGGTCCTCATTAATATCAGAAATATTAAAATCGGCACATAGTGATAATGATTACTACATGTGTCTCTCATCAGTTCAAC